ATATGGTTCATGGGGTCACGAAGAGTCGGACACGACTTAACGACTAAACAACAACAAGCACCACAGAGTAATCCAGGTAGCAGGAGCCACAGCCAGCATTATTGTGGATGGGGGGAGAAAACAGTTGCTGACTCCGAATGGAACAGAAGACTGCTACCTCTCCCACTCTGGATTTCCTGATTTCTATTTAAATTATTTTTTGGAGCTCAGGGGAATCTGTAAGAAGAACCAGCACTAGGACAAAGATTATTTAACCCAGTGTTTCTCAACCTTGGCAACTTTAAGGCTGGGGAATTCTAGGAGTTAAAATCCACACATCTTAAAGTTGCCAAGGTTGAGAAACACTGGGTTAACCTTTTGAGACTGGTTTGTTGATGAGTCTTAGCTATGGATGTAAGGCCTTCTCCTTTCCAGTATAGCTGCATTCATGTAGAATTTCAGTGTGAATTTGAGGCCACATAATTTAAAAAGGAAAAAGAAAAAAGGAAAAGGTGATAGAGAAAGGAGAGGCAGCTACAAAACTCCATTCATTCTCTCCAGAGACAACTCCTCCCCCTGTGCTTCAATTTTTTTCTTTCCTCATCTCACACACAAATTGTGCTATACATTTCAGTGTTGCCTTTGTTAACGAATTGTCCATGGTAAGAAAAATGATGGGAAAAGTAGTGGGAACAGATGGGAGGATTAAAAATGGTAGATGAAGTCATCTGGACCCCCCTATCAGATCTCATGGGCTGTTGTACAATAAAGCTCTAATCTAGAAACACCCTGAGAATTGATAGAACAGACTTGTCAAGAAAGGATCCCTAGTTCAAACCTGACCTCTGCCATAAATGCACTTGATGGCTTTAGACAAGCCATTCTTTCTCACCTTTAGCCATCTGTGAATGTTATAAGGCAATCAGAATATGTGTGAAGCTCTTTAAATATAACAGGATGCACCTTTATATGTTGATACAATTATTATTAAAGGTGTTAATGGACACAAAACTGTTATACAAACAGCGACTGTTTTTAACTGAACTTATTCCCTAGGTGGAGGCTTGTATACGGGGCTAACAGCCGATTTCTTGGGCAGGGATTCTGTGATCTTCCGGACCATGGGACATCGCTCCTCTCTCCGTACAGAGATGGACCAGAGGCTGCTGAACGGTAGGGAAAAATTGCAACACTTCATTAGGCCAAAAGGCACACAGTGAATGTATAAATCTGCAGTTTTAGAGAAGTGGGAATTGCTTCATTTTAGGCAAACAATGAAGTAGGGGTGTGTTTCATGCATTCTGTGCACTGGATCGTGGAAGGATTTAAAGAGGATTAAACAGAGCTCAGTGCAAAGAGGTAGTCAGAGGAAAAGGGACTGATGAAAACCCATATGATGCACACAGCCATGAATGAAAAAGGGAGTGTTGTCCACGGAAATAAGAATGGGAAAACGAGGTGAGATGGAGGTCATGATCACTGTAAATTTGTACATGGGAAATAAGGAGGAGGTGGGGAGGTATTTATATAACTAACCCTTTTTAAAATGTATAGCCTTTAATAAGAGGAGCTCCTATTTATTATCTCTCCTGGCAATAACTATTATTAGCTGTGCCAAGACAGAATCTGCCAAGATTTTAATCTTTTAGGACCACCGCCAAGCTACAAACTGCTTCTGGGGATCTTTTTCTTAATCTGTCCAATAATCTTTTACTCAGCTCCCAAATTTGTTGCTGCTTATATGATCCCAGACAATGATGATCGGGACAATGACAAAGTCTACTTCTTCTTCACTGAGAAGGCAGCAGAGTCAGATAGCAAAGGGCATGCCATCTTTAGCCGTGTGGGGAGAATCTGTGTGGTGAGTTTCTAAGATCATTTCTGTGCATAATGATGAACTGGGGGTGGCGAGGGGGGGCAGAATAAGGAGTGGCTCAGGGCTCTTCCAACGTATCCATTGCTTTAGCTAGCACAATGTTAGGGAAGGCCCCTTAGAGAGGCATGCAGGTCTTGAGCTAAAAGTGTGGGGGGGAAAAAACTTGCAGCTCTGGATATCATAGTTTAAAATCTATAGGTCCTGGGGACAGCTTGTCCCCTGTGATGAGGCTGTTTGCTGTTTCTGTGGGCCTTTGGGATTTAGTTTAGGGGAAGCAGTTGAATTAAAGTAGTACTTTAAGATAAAGGACATATGATGGGGTTTTATTTTATTTTTATTGGTGGTCCTGTTGTTTTAGTGGTATGTTGTAATATATTTTGTGGATGTTATTGTGAGCTGCCTAAAAGTCTAGAAGGAGGCAGCATATAAATTAAAGTAATAAATAAATCATAAATAAAGATTAATTAAGTCAGTTGACATCTTTATGCAGCACTGAAATGGATCATTTGGTCTTTGACTAGTGCCTCATTATATTCCATGGGCAAATTTAAAGAGGCATATTAATAGATGCAAGACCACTTTATAACTTAGCCCAAGGGCATACCATTTTGTGATTTATGAGACCACCGGTTACTATGAAAATTGTTAAGCAATAATAGTCTTCAGATGTTTGATAACTTGTTTTCTATTAGATAAATGAGAATAGAAGAATATGATAAATGAAAATATCTTAACGTGTATATTCATTTTATTGATTTATTTAAAGATATGTTTAAAGATGAATCCTCTCCTGGTATCAGTGGCAGAAATGGGGCTGTCCAGATTTCATCTGGGGCTTAAATGGCATTACATACTCTTGTGCAGAAACATCAAATGCTAGAACAAAGTTTGCACCCACAAGGTATAGATGACCAGCTTTCCACACCAGAGGTGATAAATGTTTCAGCTTTGTTTTCACTTTGTATGAGCATATGTGAATTTTCATCTTCCCCACTAAAAATACACCTAAAAATTGATAGTTGGGATTTACAGAGAAGAAATCATCAAATTCAAATCAAGTTAGAGTCCAGTGGGATGGCCACTAAGGAGAGCAGAACAAAAACTTTCCAAGGAAAGGAATTGGCATGCATGATCTACAGCCAAGGGTCCAAAATGAAAATCAAGTAGTAACTGTTGAAGCAATAAACCCTGCTGGTAAACAAGGATTGGCTCTAGGAATTGGCAATGCTACATGTGCACTGAACATGGAAACATTTTAAAAGGTTTCTCTCTGATCATGGAGATCCTGTCTGCCTTAAATTATACAAAACTTGTCCAGCCCACTCAGAAACATGGAGAGGCTAAATAAATTTGCTGAAGAATTTGAGGAAGATGCTATCACTGTGTATGTATTCTTCTGAGTGGTGATCAACTAGGTATTTAGGGACTGTTTCAGTCTAAGTGAAATAGTCAGTGTTGGATATATTGCTGAATCCAAATCCAAATCCAAATTAAAAGGCCTATGGGAGCCAATGCTGTTCTCATGTTATATTTCTTTTTCTACTGTTGGGACACCTGTGCTTACATAAACTCCCTCTCATCTAAAGTGCTCTACATCCCAAAAGGTTACTCAGCGTTTTATGCAAGGGGTACAAAGCAGTCGCTCTCATATGATGAAAATGAAAGGAAGTTGCATAAGTTGATACGTACTGTATTTTTCCGTTAATAAGACGCCCCAACGTATAAGAAAACCCCGACTTTTCCAACCCAAAATTAAGAAATCAATATTTTAAAGATAAAGCAGAACACATTTTTAT